ATGTTTACTTCCGGAAAAAAGTGCATGCTGGCCTGTGATGTCATTGCGTCCTCTACTGCGCATGCGGGACACTGGCGCTGTATGATTGCAGTTCACACAGGATATTACATACAAGTTGCATATATTTGGAAATAAGAACGGCGACGTAAATAAATTGGATTTCGCAAAAAAAATCGGAATTGAGCATGAAGGCCAGGAGGAGATTCCTTTTGTCTGTCAAAGGATCCATTTAAAATAAAAGGTTAAAGCCAGATGGGAACATCTTGGTATTTTGCCAGCTTTGAATTCTTCAGACACAGCCTCAAGTTCAAGAGCTAGTAAAGAAACTGGTCACAAAAAAAAAAAAAAAAAAGTATGTGCAAGAACCTAAGAGAGACAAATATATTAGAAACGAAAGGACAGGATGATGATGTAAGTGAAAGAGCAAAGGATAAGGAAGGTAGGCATGGGTAAGAAAGGACATGCCAAAGGGAGGAGTAGGACGAGGACGGAGAAGGAGGGGGTTTAAGGAGGGGGGAGTTCAAAATGTCTGGGAAAGATTATCTTTACAGAGCAATCAATCTTCCTTCAGGATTTAGATTTTGACTGTGGAGCATAATGTATGGATAAACTTAGACAAGCAGACACAGCCACATGCAAACAAATCCACTGAGGTTTCACCCCTCTTAACCTTTTCGTTTTAATAATCTGATCTCTACATGCACTGTCTGTCATTATACAGTCATACGTAATAGCTTTGTTCTTCCAAGGTGTTCACTTTATGCTGGGATCCTCTTGGACATATGGTTGCTATTTTGAAATTAAAACTGAAAAAAAGAGACACAGATGAAAGAAGACGGTATGCTTTGTTCCACTTCAGGGGGAGCGTGAGGATGCAATTCTTCTCTGAGGAGAATCCCAGAATGCAGCTGGATAAATGATGGTTCTGCGTTGTGTCAACAGTTTGGAGCTCTGTAAACTGTGGCATCCTGACTGGAATTCCAAACATATTTGTAATCCAGTCCTTCTTTGAAAATTGTCCAGCTTTCCTTTGTAGAGAACTTTGTTGATGGAAAATAACCGACTCTTCTTTAGTTCCCATTGATCATAATTCCATTACAAACCTGATGCAAAATGGCAGCTGTGAATCCATTATTAATAACTATGTATGTCCCAATGAAAGACTATGGAAACTGTGGCAGTGAAGGAGCTACAACAGCAGTTATAAGGCATGGTCAGACTTGCAGCCAAAATATGCTGAGAGAAAGAAAACAACTTTTTTTTCATCCTGACGTGCAAATGTTTACATCAATCATCTTGAGATGATTATAGTGAATAGAAATTCTGATCCATTTTTTTTATGACTGAACCATGTTTCTTTACCTGAAACAGCTTTAAATACAATGTTGGATTTTATTTGGAGCATGAAACCTGACCCATAAGTGAAAGAATAACTTCACTTGGAGCCCAACTACTTGAAACCTCTTTATTTAAGTTTTAGCCGACACCAGGCAATTTTTACAGCTGTTTAGATACCGTACTACTATGCTATAAAAAGCAAAGTTGCTAATCAGATGGCAGCAAATCAAGAAATGGTCAAAACCACACTTAAAGACCTCAAATCAACCAGCAATCGGCCTCAACTTTAAGTACAATATTCAAATGGAATATTTGGAATTTTTTAATTTAACAGCTGGATAGAAGGACGATGGATAAGTTAATTTTTGTTTGATTTGTGCCCTTTTTTTTGCACTAACTGGTCATGGGGATCAAGATCAGATCCAAAAAGTGTGTTTCCATTAACATTTAAATTGCGCAATGTGTAATTATAAAAAGAAATTCACCTACATTGAAAGAAAAAGAAAATAAAAATTGAACTTTATTGATCTTACAATGTAGAAATTAACTCTCTGTATTTAACCCATCCCCTTGGGGAGCAGTGATCTGCCATTGTACGGCATCCAGGGAGCAGTGTGGGGTTAAGAGTCTTGCTCAGAGACCCACAGTGCTGGCGGTGGGGATCGAACCAGATACTTGAAATCTCTTAGAGCACAAGTGCACTGCTCTAACCACTAGGCCAACGACTTTTTCAAAAAGTTGCTTCAGTGGGATGGTACTTCGGTTTGTTGTGTTTAAAAGGAACTATTTTCTGTGTAGTAATACGGCAGTAATTAGTCGCGCACTGCGCGTATTGATACAATGTATAGTTAGGAATGAAGGCTGTATCAGTTGTGAATCTTTTCAAGTAGCCATTAAAAAGTTCCCTAAATGGCACGCTACTTTCCCCGTCTATTTTGTTGATGAGAACACAACAATTGGCGACCAGTCTCGAACCTAACGTGAAGTGGATGTTAACTGGAAGTGAAAATTGTCTCCTTTCAACCTTCCACGGCTGTTTTTGCCTACCCCCAAGCGACGCTTCTACCTCTTCTTCTCGCAAAGAAGGAAGGAGGACAACAAAAGGATTCGAGGTCGTGAGTAACCTGAAAAAAAAAGAAAAAAAAAACGGAAGTAACTTTACACGAAATAAAAGAGGACTGTGTTAACTAGTGAAACCGTCAGGATTCAAAGAAAATGGCTGGATTTGTGGGACAGATTGGTGCGTTTGATAGTACAGTGGAAGATTGGGCTACATACATTGAAAGAGTGGAACAGTACATTGTGGCTAATAAAATCGAAAATGATCGGAAAGTGGCCGTGCTTCTCAGCGTAATGGGTCCAAAGACCTACAATTTACTTCGGAATTTGATGTCACCAAATAAGCCAGCAAGTAAATCATACGAAGAAATTGTGAAACTGCTGCAAGAGCATTTAAACCCCAAACCGCTAATCATTGCAGAAAGATTTAGATTCCACAATAGAAATCAAAAGAAAAATGAGTCAGTCACAGACTACATGGCTGAATTACGCAGGCTATCAGAGCATTGCGAGTTCAAGGAGGGACTGTCAGACGCGCTGCGTGATCGTTTGGTGTGTGGTCTCGTGCACGAGGGCACACAGAAGCGGATCCTTACGGAGAAGGATCTGACGCTTGCGCGCGCTCTGGAGATAGCCATCTCAGTGGAGACCGCTGCTAAGGATGCAGTTGAATTACAAAAGAAGACAGCTTCGTCTAGCGAATGTACAGTAAACAAAATGACAACAAAACGTGCTGAAAAGATGACAGCTTGTTTCCGATGTGGAAAGAAATCCCACAGCCCCGATTAATGTTGGTTCAAAGACAAAGACTGTAACCAGTGCAACAGAAGGGGGCATATCCAAAAAGTGTGCAAAACGAAACAAAAAGAGAGAAAAACAAATGTAAAATGGAGAAATAAAAGTGTCAATGAATTGAATGAGTCTAATTCAGATGAGTATGAGCAAGAATTGGCTTGCCTCGAGCTTCACTCAGTAAAAGAAAACAGACAAAATGTTTTTTGGGTGACACCTGAAATTGAGGGACAGAAACTCAAAATGGAGTTAGACACTGGGTCAGCCTTGTCAATCATATCCTACAAAGATTACAAGAACAAATTTGGCAAATTGAAACTGAAACATACCCCAGTCACACTGAAGACTTATACAGGAGAAAAAGTCTCCCCAATGGGGAAATTAAAGGTGAAAGTCAAATATGAGAAAACAAAGCGAATACTGGATCTGTATGTGGTGCAAAGTGACAATGTGCCATTATTTGGACGAGAGTGGCTGCGTAGCATCCAGCTTAACTGGAAATCAATGAAAGTGATGGAGATGTCCAGCGAAAGCACTCAGTCTACCCCAGAACGACTGAGGAACGTACTGGATCGCTACGCCCCAGTTTTTCAAAATGGAATTGGAATGCTGGCACAGATCAAAGCCAAAATAGTTTTAACTGAAAATGCTCAACCAAAATTCCACAAAGCCCGTAACCTGCCTTATGCATTACGCCCAAAGGTGGAAGCAGAGCTCAAGCGCCTTGAGGACCAAGGTATCTTGTCAAAGGTGGAGTGGTCAGAGTGGGCCACACCCATTGTGCCGGTCTTAAAGAAGAGTGGTGCTTTACGCATCTGTGGCGACTTTAAAGTCAGCATAAATCCAGTGCTCCAAGCAGACCAGTATCCGCTACCCCGGATAGAGGATATCTTTGCCTCATTGGCTGGTGGCCAGCATTTCTCTAAGATTGACTTAGCGCAGGCCTACCTCCAAATGGAGTTGGAAGACTCATCAAAGAAATATCTAACCATTAACACCCATAAGGGGTTGTTTCAATATAACCGTCTGGTTTTTGGGATAGCGTCAGCCCCTGCTGTATGGCAAAGAGCAATAGACCAAGTTCTTCAAGACATCCCTGGCACTCAGTGCTATTTAGACGATATTCTTGTGACAGGCAGTGATGAAAACACACATCTGACCAACCTTGAGACAGTCTTAAAGAGGCTATCAGACTTTGGACTCGGAGTGAACAAAGAAAAATGTGAGTTTTTCAAGGACTCAATTGAGTACTGCGGTCACAAGATCGACAAAGATGGTCTTCACAAGGCACAAGATAAGGTGGATGCAGTCTTGAAGGCACCCAGCCCCGAGAATGTCAGTCAGTTACGCTCCTTTTTGGGCCTTGTCAATTATTACGCCAAATTTTTGCCAAATATCGCGACGGTGTTACATCCATTGAACAGTCTGTTACAAGTGAAAACTGTATGGAGATGGTCGAAGTCCTGCGAACAGGCGTTCATGGCAGCAAAGCAACTGATAACGTCAGAGAAAGTGCTGACGTACTACAACCCCAATTTGCCACTGCGTTTAGCCTGTGACGCATCACCATACGGGATTGGCGCTGTGCTTTCCCACAAGGAAAGGACGGCTCTGAACGGCCTATTGCCTTAGCCTCCAGGTCTTTGAACAAAGCTGAGCAGAACTATGCCCAAATTGACCGTGAGGGTTTGAGCTTAGTCTGGGGGGTTAAGAAGTTTAACCAATACCTGTATGGTAAACACTTCACACTGATCACTGACCATCAGCCTCTAGTGCCTATTTTCAATCCCAGCAAGTCCGTTCCTATCATGATGGCGGCACGTCTGGAGAGATGGTCCTTGTTTCTAGGAGCTCATGATTACACGATTGAGTTCAAAGGCACAAAGCTTCATGGAAATGCAGATGGCCTTTCTCGCCTTCCCCTCGAGTCAGGTGGCACAACTGTGTTTTCAGATCCAGCTGACCTTTTTCACATGACGCAGATGGACAATTTACCTGTCACTTTTCTGGAGGTGAAGAGGGAAACGGGTCGTGACCCCACAATGGTGAGAGTCTACGACTTGACGGTGAAGGGGTGGCCCCGGAAGGGTAATGCCGACCTACCTGAGTACGCAAACCGACGTGAACAGTTGTCCGTATGCCAAGGCTGTGTGATGTGGGGCACCAGAGTTATCATACTACCAAAGCTTCGAAACAGAGTGCTAGAGTCTCTTCACGATGGACATCAAGGTGTGGTTAAAATGAAAAGCCTGGCCAGAAGCCATGTCTGGTGGCCTGGCATTGACCACGAGATTGAAGACATCACAAAGTCATGCTCGGGATGCCTGCAAACTCAGCGTCAACCGCAGGTAGCTCCACCACACACCTGGGAGTGGCCTTCAACTGTGTGGCAGAGAGTTCACATCGACTACGCAGGTCCCTTTCTGGACAGAATGTTTCTAGTGGTCGTCGATGCATACTCTAAATGGCCTGAAGTGTTCCCTGTGAAGAATGCCACATCAGCAGTGACGATTGAAGCTCTTCGTACTCTGTTTGCTCGTGCTGGACTGCCACAGCAGCTAGTTAGTGACAACGGTAGCCAGTTTACTTCAGAGGAATTTCAGATGTTCATGAAGGGAAATGGAATTAAGCACATTACCACCGTGCCATTTCACCCTGCAACAAATGGACTTGCAGAGAGATTCGTCCAGACCTTCAAACAATCCATGAAAGCCATGGCGAACACCAAATTGTCCATATCAGAGAAACTGGCCAACTTCCTGTTGTCGTACCGCAACACAGAACATTCCACCACAGGTCAGACACCGTCTGTGCTGTTCATGGGAAGATCCTTAAGATCCCGTCTGGACCTCCTAAAGCCAGACCTGCACCGGGACGTGTCAAAGAAACAAAGCAGTCTGATGAAAAAGCAATTTCCCTTGAGAACCTTCCATGAGGGCCAGCCTGTGCTTGCCAGAGATTATCGTCATGGGAATCAGAAGTGGCAAACTGGTGAGATAGTTTCCAAAACGGGCCCACTTACTTACACGGTGAGAGTACCACCTGGACTGATCTGGCGCAGACATGTGGATCAGTTACTGGACGCTAGAACCCGTCACTCCACCAGTAATGATCAATGCCGTGATGCAGACTGTGCAGACAGTTCTGAGGACTTCACACCTGGTGACCCACCGGACGAACCCCTGGAAGAAACACCAGATGAACCGAATGCAGAGACTGCTCCAGCAACGGATAGCCCAGCTGCTTCTTCTAGACCTGTTCCGGATGTACCAGAAAGGCGATATCCTGAACGAGAGCGACATCCTCCACAGAGATTAGAGTCATAGCCTAGTTTAGTTAGTTGAAAAGATACAGCTTAGGTTAAGTACTTGAAGGATAAGTGAGTTAATTGATAGTGTTAATTTAGAGTTATCCCAAAGAGACTGTAATTTGAAACTTAGTTTTATTAAGTAAAGAGGAACACAGAAAAAGAATATGTAGCATAGATTATAGCTTTTCTAGAGTACTTCAAAGCTAGAAGGGAGGAGTTGTTGTGTTTAAAAGGAACTATTTTCTGTGTAGTAATACGGCAGTAATTAGTCGCGCACTGCGCGTATTGATACAATGTATAGTTAGGAATGAAGGCTGTATCAGTTGTGAATCTTTTCAAGTAGCCATTAAAAAGTTCCCTAAATGGCACGCTACTTTCCCCGTCTATTTTGTTGATGAGAACACAACACGGTTGCAGCGAAATTCTTATATTTTGCAAAACTGCATTGGAAATCAAACGACTCAAGGGATCTGTGACTGATCTGAACCTTACTGCCTTGTAAAAAGATAAGAGGAAGCCGGAAGTAGTTGGAGGTAGACGGCTCCCTCTAGAGCCATGGCTGAAGTAGGGATATATCACATCTGTGTACATCTTCTGTTGCCATGTTGTTTTCAAACTTATAGCGTGAACAAATGTATTCAAATGCAATTTTCATTGTTTTTGTTATTTAATGGAAATGCCGCAATTGCAAAACTTAGCATTTTCATATTTAACAGAATATTGATATAGTTTTGCATGCATTTGTAATGTTAGCTAATGATAACCTATAGGACAGCAGCCTTCAAAGAAATATAGAGATGAGCTGATTTGTCATTTTCATAAATTAATTGGTGTGGTTCAACAATGCTGTGTTTCACAGTAATGTAAAATACAATAGCAAAGGATCATAACGTGTATGAAGGTTAAAGAAAGGTAGTATGAAATGGCACAGAGGTAAATGGACCCAGAGCTGTCTTGTTGACCAAATGCAGCAGTAAATCTCACTTTTGCAAATATTCACATTAGTATAGACAAGGCCTATTGTTTTTTTTTTTTTTAACCAACTTTGGTTTCTTGGTCTCACCCAACCCAGAAAAATAACTACCTAGTTAGTTATTTAACTGCTATACTGAGGTAAATGAGTTTCATGTGTTGCCTTTTAAAGTTTATGAGAATATTTTATGAAGAAAAGGATCTCTGTTAAAAGACCGGCTTCCAGCTGAGATGAATTAAAGCCATATATTTTTAGCTAAAACCCAAAGCCCTGGATGAAAAATTGTGTTTGCTGTGTAAGGCTGATTGATTACTGGAGTTGTAGAGAGGATTCTGAAGGTATCGGAGGAGAAGGATTTTTTTTCTTATTCTGTGTACTAAGTAATGCTAAAGATATGATGGGAGATTAAGTGCTTATGACAAGATGTTAAAAAATAATCTTCAGGATGTGAGAGAAAGCAGTGGAAGAAGAAAGCAGACCTATCCTTGGCCTTATACCTGTTTCCAGATGTGAAATCTTTCCAAGAGTCCATCTTTTTTAATCATTCCTTCCTGTTCTGAAGAGGGACCTCAGCAAAATGACTCACACTCAAGTGGAGAGGAAACAAATGCAAAGATGCTGGCTGCCGCGGATAAGTACTCTGAATTTTCAAGATCAGATTCCCAGACCTGCTGAAAAATACTCTCTGAGATAGAAAGCGTGCCTACTTTGTTTTTCATCTTTTCTGGAGTCATTATAGATTGAGGTACAATTTCATGTTTTTCATGCCCACTTTATGTTGTCAGACAAGATTCAATTGAGTGATATCTTGAGTTAATGCCTGGGTTTGGTATGAGAAATTACAACAAATATCCACAATATTCAACACTATTCTAGTTACATTATTGTAAGCAAAAGTCTTCTTTTCTTGCTTACAATCAACTTCGCAATGTGTACTCAAAGCCAATGAGAGGTGAGAGCAAGAAAAAAATTAGCCTTTGATACAGGAGGTGTGGCATACCTTTTCTGTTAAATTATCAGACTTTAGAAATAGTTTAAAAATTTAATTAATGCTATTTACCCATACTTTACATGCTCAATTCATTAACTATAAATTAGTTTTTTGAAACCTTCCACATTTGTGCCATCTTTTGTCATTTTAAAAGTAGAGCACTGCACCGCCTGACACACCCTGTTTGTCTGACTGGCCCCTCTGCATGACAGCATGTCAGGGCAGTTGTTACCCCTTGCCAGTCAATGTTTCTCTCCCAAACCCTTTTTCTATCCAACAGTCTGTGTGATGTGCTCCCCCACTCATCAGACTGACACAGACTGGTTTCTGCACCCCAGCTGTTGGCGGTTTTCTTTTATGTGGGAGAGTTTTTTGGCGATGCTTTTGCTGCGATGATAGATGTTTCAGAAACCCCCGAAGGTTATTTTACCCCTTTTTTTGATTTAAACCCCTGGCTTTCTTTTCCACGTAGAAATATAATGATATGGTTCTTCTCTTTTTCCCTGATTTAATCAATCTTTACTCATTTTTCCTGACAGTTTTACTGTTGTTTGGCATTATTGCATATGATCTGCAGAGGGTTGGACTGTGCAGTTTTATGTTTGTTCTTGTATGTCATTACTATGTAACCTGGTTGACTTTTTATTTTTTATTTTATTAGAAATCCCCCCCAAAAAAAAAAAAAAAACGGCAAAATTATGTCAATTTGCACATTTCATTAGCAACACAATTTAAGAAACAAAATATGAAAACACATAAATGTGCATTGCAGTGAGACAAAGAATATTAAATCGTTATTAATCATAAACAATTGACGTAATTAAAAAAGATGTACTGTTGCTTGCGAAAGTATTCACGCAAGTTTTTAGCATTTACTAGTGTTTTAATTATATTCTTTACTTCGAACCCCTTAAAAAATAAAAATCCACTCTGGGATTTCTTAGTATAAATTCAGCTGATCTGTAAGACCTCAGAGAAACCTAGCAAAGAAACACAGCAGACACATCAGGAAAGCAGTTATGGAGTTTAAAGCTGGGTTAGAATATAAAATCTTGTATGGTGCTTAAAACATCTCACTTTAACTCAGGTGTGTCCAAAGTCAGTCCTTTAGTGCCGCTGCCTTGCAGGTTTCAGAGGTTTCCCTGCTTCAACACAGCTGATTCTGATTGCAGTTCATCAAAAGCCTGTTAATCAATGAAAATCAACTGTGCGTCTATTAGACGTGCGTGATGGCATGCACAAGCCCATTTCTCCTTGTGCACGCTCTGTTTAAAACTTGCTGTTTGCATCACTCATACAAGCTTACTTTCCAAAAGAAGGTTTGCAATTTTCCAATATGTCGGACTCACCACTGGTAAGTGAAAATGGGGACAAGCACTTTATTTTGATAATCCACCCGGAAAAAGAACATCCTCCAATATACCTTTAAGTGTATTCAAATACTGTTTTCAACTTGTTAAGTCTTCAGCTGTACATAAACACACATCAAATTAAAACCCGAAGTTGCTTTGGAATGAAAATAAAATCAAAGTTCCTAAGTTTGATATAGGCTTTATCCTGAAACATGGGGCAGGTGAATATGCAGATCTTCCTCACAAGGAATACAATTTCTTTAAAACGACACAACAATGGAAATGCAGATGTTTCTGTTAAAACATTGAAGCCTTTTCTCTAAAGTGAAAGAAAAGTGTAACACTGAAATATGTAATGATATTAAGCTCACAGTGGAAAAGCATTTTTGCGGTATTTCGCCATTTAAATGTCACATTGTGGTTTCACCCATTATTTGTCATCCCTGTTGCAATTATAGAACGTCAGTGTTTTCACCACAACTTCTTTAGTTATTTTCTTTTGGCTCTTGTAAATAGGCTTTCTTCATATGTGGTTTTTGACTTCTAACTTTAATTTCCTATTGCTTTTGTCCAGTGTTTTGTCATTATTCCCAAGTGTAAACCCATGTCTTGTGTTCTTTTTGAGAGAGAGCACATTGTTGACCTTAGCAGCTAACAAGCTATTTCGTTTCTTTGCTAATATGTTGGTACCTAAAATTAAATCGTACACATGTCCAAGCACAATTTGTTCATTCTAAGTCTTGTTACTTAATGGTGGTATGTGTGCTGCTTTTGATACACCTCCTTTTGAGTAATACATGTATCTCAAGCCTAGAACGATTAGATCCAGCATTCAAGGCACACAGATTCCTAAAAAAAATTTATTAGAAATGAAAGTGTAGTGCACAGCATCGGCGAATAAGGCATCTGGTCTTATAGTTTAGTCCGAGCCCAGAGGGGGAGGTTGGTTCCAGCCAGTTGGCTGCCAAGAAGAGGCAGCAGACGCTGCCCAAAGAGTCCTGGACTCCGATGTCACGGAGGTCTGAGGACAGGCAGGAGATCAGAACTGAGCAAACAAAGTAAGGCCGGATAATCCACAGGTCAAAGCCAAAACCGGTGTCGAAGACGAGCTCAGGAGTCAGAGCCAAGAGATCAGAAGGCTGAAGGGAAATCCAGAAAAATGTTGGGAAATGGTTTCAGGTTTGGTTCATATACAGGCAGAAATCCAGCAGGAGTCTGAAGACAGCTCAGGCAAACAGATCAGAATGGGGACAGGCAGCCTCAGAGGTCCAGAGGCACAACAGGTCAGGATCAGGCAATCAGAAGTAATCAGGAATGCTAAAGATCTCTCACCAAAGGCTCAAACAATCTGGCACTGATGGCTGGTCTTCAGGCTGGTTGAATAGAAGCTGGAGCAGGTGGATCAGATGAGTGGTAATGAGAACTGGATAAGTAGGTGAATGAAAAGAGAAATCAGACCAGATTAGTGCCAAGATCATGACACATTTATTTGGGTAAAGGGTGTAAAATTTTCTTGGTTCGAAATTTTAAGGACAGAGAGCAATCAATTTCACATTAGTGTTGTATTTTCATCTGTTTCTACATATTAATCGAAGGAAAGTCCCTTTGGCACCCACATGACTTCTTATCATAAGGACTATAAACCTTGGCAATATACCCCCAAAAACCAGAAGTCGTTTAGACGTTGGTTTTTAGGCCAA